ACAATTAGCCCTAGTTATTATTATTCTTTTTTCTTCTTATTTCTTCTCCGGTACTTTTTTGTCCGGAAGTGTTATCAGAAACTGTTCACCAAACTAAGTTAAAACCTTTTTAGGGTTAATGGGTGTGTAGTGTAGGTGTGCGGAACGAAGGTCATTTTGCGCGCATACGCCTGCACGTGCGGGCGCGTGAAGTGAGTGAAATGACTGATATACTTATTATGGCCATAACTTTTACATTTTTTGATAAAATGCTTTGAAACTGATTGGCTGAAACAAAAATCTCAATATCTCTTTTGTTTTTTGACGAAATGCTTTGAAATTTTAAACATAGTAATGAACTAGGATATTCTACAATATGATATCAAAAAAATTTCAAGAAATCACGCGCATGCACGTGTGCTGCAATCTGATTGGCTGAAACTTTAAAAGGCTATATCTCCTTTGTTTTTTGATGAAATGCTTTGAAATGTAAAACATAGCCATACTTTACAATACCCTGCAATATGGTATACAGAAAAATTAAAGAAATCACGCGCATGCACGTGTGCTGCATTCTGATTGGCTGAAACTTTAAATGGGTATATCCCCTTTGTTTTTTGACGAAATGCTTTGAAATTTAAAACATAGTTTTACATTAGGATATCCTGCAATATGATATACAAAAAAAAAATCATGAAATCACGCGCATGCACGTGTGCTGCAATCTGATTGGCTGAAACTTGAAATGGCTATAACTCTCTTGTTTTTCAACCAAACAGGATGGGATTAAGAACATAGATAAGTATAAGGAACTCCTACAAGAAGGTATGGTCATCATGCATGTGCACGCACGTGCGTGCATTTGGAACGATTGAAATTAAAAATACACCTAAATGAGTGATTTTTAATACTTTTGGACTGAATTCTTTGATATATAGTATATTTAAATATATAGATAGTGTAGACAAGATGATATGGTCATAACGCACATGCATTCACATGCGCACGGGTGCAATGCTAAAATTTGAATATAATTGGTATCCTTCTGGGTAAATTTTGTTAAAGTCTAAATTACCAGAATTTGTCTTATTTAATAAAGCTTACAGGAAATGTGGCACCAAAAGGGAGTTGGGGAGCGTTTGGGGAACATCTGTAACGGTTCCCGTTACAATTAGCACTAGTTAGTTTTACTGTAAGTTTTAGATAATTCACAATATTTTTTTTTACGTGTCTCTATAGATAGCCTTGGAAAAATCCCCAATTTATTATGCATTTCGGTCCATCCTCTCCTTTACGTGTGGGTTACATTAAGTCAGTTACAGTTAATGAGAGTTAGTCTGCAATTGTCCATCCCTAGTTTGAGAAAATAGAACAATTTTACATTATCTTGATAATTTGCAAAATTAAGGGTAACTAAAGATAGAAATGGAAAAGTCCCCCATCATTATACATTTCGAATAATGCTTTTTTTTATTTGTTTGTCATCTTATAACCGTAAAAGCTAATGTATGGACACTGTCCATTCCTAATGTGAGGAGAAGGATATGGAGATAACGAACAGTATTCAATATCGAAGTCCATAAAACAATATAAAACAGGAGCAGAACAAAAATGGATCTCCGAAACATCAGAGGAAAGACAGTACAAAAGTCTACATTTCCATGCTAATTTACAGTATGTCTATATATTTTAAATATGTTACTATATATATAAAAGGAAATGTCTTCTATAATTCTGCATTTCAAATAATGCATTCTAATACTTATTGGTCACCTTAAGTCAAAACAGTTAATAACAGGTACTTTGTAAAGTGCCCATTCCTAATGTGAGAAAATAGTACAAAAGTCAATATTTCCTGTATAATTTGCGGTATATCATTCTTTAATTATTTGTTACTATAAATAGAAATGAAAACCTTTACTTATTATTCTGCTTACATGTAATGATCATTTGATCTTGTCATTAACAGTTAATGTCAGTAATCTATAAATTGTACATCTCTAAGTGGAGAATTAGTGGAAAATCTACATTTCGTTGTTTATTTCATGTGTTTAATTTTTGATATTTGTACTGTTTATAGAAATGAGAGCCTATATCAATAAAGTATAAGATATTGTTTTATTCCTTGTTCTTATTGATAAAATATTGGAGAAATCCGTATGTTTCAGAGTCATTTTTCAACATTTTATGAGACATGTCTATTTCTAGGGCATTGGAATCTTTGAAAAGAATATGGGACTTTTTATAAAAAAAAATTATGCAGAGTAGTTATTAGTGTCCAGTTTCTGATATCAGCATATTTTCTTTTACTGTCTAGTATTAATTACTAGGTAATTTCATAATTACCTAGCAATGGCATCTGAAACATCCATATTTGACTTTTTTATTTTTCTGAAATATGTTTATTTATAGATACATGTTATTATAAAAAGCATTGGGATCCCACTCCATTTTGTCATGAGATGACACTACTAATATAGAATAATGAAGACACATATAAGATATGAAAAATTTCCGTAGACATTTTTTTTTACTTAACCTTAAATTTCAAAAATAACGACTTTCCAATTTCTGGAATAACCAATTAAATGCCCTGTATACCTTAACAGTTGATGTTTTTATTATGATACAATGATTTATATTTGAGTTATTTCCTCAATTTTCATGTTTTTGTTTGGTCAAAAAGGGTCAAAAAATGTCCAAACTCAATAGATCAGTACCCATGGCAAACGAATGCACATGTAAAACTTCTAACACTATATCTGTTGGTTTTCTACCAAGGTGCACCCGTGGTGCAAATTTCATTTAAATCGGAGATGTCGTGTCCAATAATTACCGAGAATGCATGTTAAGTCATGAATAATCAAAGAAATATGGCATTCTCAAGTGGTGTAAAAGTTAGTGTAAATCATGTTGCAAGGGAATTGTTTGGTACCACTTACGTCTTTTAACTTTACAATGCTGAGACATTTCTGCTTTTTCAAGGTAAAGTGCTCAGGTGACAGATGTTGCACCCGGTCCTCTTGCTATATATAAATCTGCAAGTCATCACTTTCACGTAAAAACCTTTGAAATGTCACAACAATGGGAAAAAGGAAAGAAATCCAGTAAAAGATATCCATAAGACACGGAAGGTAAAGATGTGATAAGAGATAAAACTCGATAGAATGCTTCTATTGTTATTTTTAATGAAATAATTATTTATCATCTGTGAGATTAACGGAAATGAAAGCCGTAAAGGGAAGCATGTAAGTCGTTTTAATTCCACCGTATTAAAATTTCACGATTTCTGGAAAAAAGTACCAATCCCAATTACTTTAATTTCATGCTGCAAGAAATTTATTTAAATTTCGTATGAGTATTCAAATGTTCTTTAAAACTAAGTATATAATTCACGATTGGTTTATAATTTTGCAGAAAATTGATGAATCTTGAACATTGTGAAATTAGAACCATCTTAATTATTTACCAATCTACAGTATACCTTATTTTACTGATTTAAATCATTGCTTCACAAACTTTATTTACAAATAATAATTTTAATTTACAAAAAAAAACAGGATAAGGATTTCATTAAATAAAAAATTGTGAAAGAAATCTAGATAAACATTTCCCCGTTTTCTTCCGAGAACAAACAATAACCTCATTTTTATATCATACTAAAAGTTAATTTTCTTTTTTAAAAATCATGACAGGTAACAATCATGATTATTATTGATTTCTGTGCATGAGTTCCATGACTTCCTGTATTCTCATCAATGAAGCAGGTTGTATATAGCTTGATGTATGTCTGAGAGATTGTCGGTAGTAGTACAGAGCAGCCTGGAGATTTAAACCATTTATACTTCACAAACTTTATTCACAAACAACAAAGATACTTACTTTACAAATAAACATAATAATAAGGATTTCTTTATCTGTACATAGAAGATTGTCATACATACAAAAAGAAATTCCAATTTCTTTCAAAAGGATTATAAACAATACTACATTTTAATATCATACCTAACTTAAAACATAGGTAAGCAAAGATTACGAAGCTCACCTCCACGAATGTAATCAGTCTCAAATCTTAAATAATATTTTACTTACAGTTGGTATTTATTCTGACAACAATATTCAAGCAAGTTCTGTTTAAATAGGTAATAAAGTTCATTGGGGATTGATCTGTTCCCAAACGTTTAACCTGGTCACTCGTTTGGAAAATGTAGGTCAGATCCAGTATCCGAAGCAAGTTTTGATTGTTAATCCTTAGATGCATCATCCATGCAAGTTTGGTCTAGGTAGGGCTTAAAGTTACTTCGAAATAACCTAGTCACTCATCTGGAAAACGTAGGTCAGATCCAGCATTCGAAGCAAGACTGGTAGTGTCCATCCCTAGATGCATCAGCCATGCAAGTTTGGTCTGGGTAGGGCTTACAATTACTTGGGAATGGATCTGCTACAAAAACCTTAACCTGGTCTTTCATCTGGAAAATGTAGGTCAGATTCAGCATCCGAAGCAAGTCTGGTAGTGTCCATTCCTAGATGTATCATCTATGCAAGTTTGGTCTGGGTAGGGCTTATGGTTACTTCGGAATGGACCTGCTCCTAAAACTTTTATCGGGCTGCCGACAACGACATCGGGGGTATAACATAAGCTCATCCCGACTTCGTCGAGGTGGGCTAAAAAAATAAGGTATTTCTTAAGTAGAGAGTGAGGGAGGGGTGTTTCTCATTCCTGTCCAAGGAGTGTTCTAAGTTGCTGAAGCATGGATCCCATGATTTCTATCATTCTCATCATGCTAGAAATTTGAATGAAGTTCTGTGGTTCTTGTCTGTTAGATTGTTGGTAGGAGTACACTGTACAGAGCAGCTTGATGGTTTCCTGTCACCTGTCGACAGATTCCTAGAATTTGCCAGGATATGTCTCTTTTATGTATCTGTATATACTTCCCCTGATCATTGTGGACGAGGTCCTGTAAGTCATTTAGAGCTGTTTGTGCTCTCATTGGGTCTACATATCTGTAGCACAAGAACTCTTACAAGTGTAATAGAACATAAAGTGGAATGTATAATGCAGGAGATCCACCCAGTAACCCAGACTCTTGTTCTGGCACTAACTCATTTATGTAACAGGTTGTATTTTTAAGAGCAATATCCCATGACACAGCATGTCTCATATCTGGAAACCAGGAATGACTCTCTAACATCTCAAGAACCCTGTGTGTCATTGCATCTCTAGTTAAATTGTTGAGATACATTACATTTGACTGTGCTAACTTGACCTTTGTCATCTCTAGAATTGATATGGCATCTTTATATCTAAGGGTCTTGTAGTAAAACATTGCAATAAACAACATATCAGAAATACATCCGAACTTGGATGCTAATTTCAGCATATAAGTGGATGTTTTGTTAACCATATACACCTGTTTGTTTACAACTGAGCTAGTATATACCTTGAATGGTTGAAAATAGGTTAAAAACTGGTATAACCTAAAAGCAGTGCTCTGGAGTGCACATGCTGTAAACCTCCTTAACACGAGAACCTGGTACCGAGTCAGAGGTAAAATTATTAACTTTTCTACAGTACTTAATAAGAATGCCATACATCCGTGTAGGTATGCTGCTGGTAGATCATGGTTATACAGTTCACCTAATAGACTGAATTCAAAGAGGACCTTGGAGAGCAGTGCGTTTTCATCTGTATCAACAGATTGTCTCGGATTTTGAAGGACACTTGTAATACTGAACCCGATATATGGAATGTGAAGCAGTGATACCATACCCTTCTCATACAATTTATGAAGCGTAATAAATAATTTCTTTTGTGCTTCACCATGGATATCACTCCGAAACATGTTGTTTTCTGGAATAAAGAAGTTTGGACAGACCCCCTCATACACCCATTTAAGGATAAGTTTAAAACAGACCCAAAAACACTGAAGAAGATTTTGGGGACACCATTGAGGTATTAGGCTTTGTTGAATCGCCCAGAAAACTGCTGTCTTCATGTGATAGGAACATAGTAATTTTTCTTCATCACCTAATCCATTGTTAATGCAAGCTTTTAAGAACAGCTTTAGCAGCCCATAGGTTAAGAATTGACAATGGTTCATTGAATAGACAAGTTTTTGTTCTGCCAAAGAGAAGGAAATTCTCCATTCTTTGTCTGCGTGTTTTCCTAGTTTGTGTCCTATTGCTACAAAGTGGCATCCATTTCTGACTCCGTCATCAACAATATAAGACGGGTCCATGAGTGACATCTGTCTATCCATTTGGAGACAGGAGGTGGCCAAAAATCACAGACAAAACATAGGGCAGTGTCATACTCTGCTCCCACTACAATACCGCTTTCACAAGGACCATGTTCCTTAGAATTTGGCAAACCTGCTGAACATGTGATCTGTCTATATTTGGAACTGGATATATAGAGTCTCGCGTTTATTCTCATACATGCATTCTTTAAATATTCCCTGTGTGTTGGTGTCAGTAGTTCAAGTAAAGCAAATCCTGGTGGGCTTTCGGAACAATCACAGAGAATAAGCGTTTTTCTAAAGTAAAAATTCTGAGCCTGCTTTAAATTCCATATTACCGTGTGATCTTTTGGCCACCGCATTATGTCCAAATCTGACCCCCGCAGCCTGAATCCTTCTCTGTAACTCCCACTAGTCAATGACATATCCATTTCTTTTGATTTTATTACCTGATTCATAATAATTTCATTGAGGTCTACTATCTCTCTCCTCATGATCACCGTCTGTGAGGTCCCAACTATGTGACACAGACTCACAGACACAGACTCTGATAAATGCTGTAAACCCAAGTCCCTGCACAAAACATTCAAAATAAATATATAAATATGTTTTTTTTCATAATCAATGAGTCTAATATATAATGTAGTGTATCTAGACCAAAATCATACAGCTCATAGCATTTCTATATTTGTATAATATATCCCACTTGTTACTGTAACATCTGTCTAAAAAATATAAATTTTAGAATATTTTAAAGAACCATTGAGTAGTCTGTATTATTATAATTATTGATACATATACTTATTAGTTTGTTTTTTTTACTTACAACCACTTGTAGGAAGACATTTTAATATTATAGCATTCCTGTTAACCTTGAAAAATATAATTAGAATTGGAAAATCCCTATATTTTACTTTCAGTTTATAAATAAAACATTTGTGCAATCATGCAGTAATATCTTTATTGTATATCTGTATGAAATACCAGATGTCTTGGACTTGTTTTGTTTTGGTGTTTTGATTTCCCCATAATTGAAGATTTGGGGTATATAGATTTTGCTCGGTCCGTCCGTCTCTTTGTCTGTTTGTCCGCAATTAAAAACCTTTAACTTTGCCCATAACTTTTGACTTGGTAGGGCTATGGCTTTCATATTTCACAGGTGTATTTATTCTGACTGGTGGCCGCCCAGTATTCCGACAGCCCGGTGTCTAACGGCCGATAATTTGTAGTTACATATAACTAATTCATATAGCAGAAAACGGGAAGAATTACCCCTTGTCTGTGTATGGTTGGTATTGAAAATTAAATATGAAGCATTATCCCGCCATAAAATAGGTTATGCTTTGGTTTTTTATGCCCCCGTAATCAAAGTATCGGGTATATATAACTTTTTATTTATTTTTTGTTATACCCTTATATATAGCTTTCTTTCTTATACCCTTATAAATAGCTTTCTATATATTTAATAATTCCAATCTTCATTTTATTTATTGATTCCCTGTGTTTTGATTGGACGAGAACACGTTTTAGAAAAAGTTTAAACATCGATGAATTTCTCACTCAGAACTACTTTCTTGACGAAGCTTTTGGGCTATCGTATAAACAATGAAGGCAGTTATTTCTGGTCTGATTTAGCTAAATATTGAATACAAGAAACTTGAAATTCAATTAAATAAAATAAAACTGGTGACAAACAGAACTGACCAGCTGAAAGACGCCATGAAAATATTTATCCCACTGTTGGATCACGGGAGTGAATTTTAAAAATCGCGAGACATTCATAATATATGAAGCATAAACCAGTTCAGTTGTATCGTTGTGAAAGGAAAAAGAAATGCACCTCAAACTCTTGCCTTATTAGCATCACATTCATATTATTACTTTTTTTTTCTTTCTCAATCTTTGAACAAACCAGTTGAAATCGAGGGTGTCGTCGGTCTGCAACTTTCGCTCTGAGCGTTGTCGTTAATGTCAACATTGTCATGGTCAAGGACGAACTATCCTGAAGTAAACTCGTAATTACGATATTTGTTAACTTAAACAACAATCGATTAGTCTTTGTAAGTTTATTTAATGATTGTTTTGATAATTTAAGTTGAACTCTATCGAAATTCATCACGATAACGTTCTTTGCGGTATAAAGTATTCCTACGCCGTACAAAAATAACGGATTGTATGTAGGCCTCAATTTAAATAATTTTAAAAATTCGTTATCATGGTTACTGGAATTATAAGAATTAAGGAGGCTAGGGGGTCAACTAATTATTTTCTAATCAACCACCAGATTTAACTTAAATTTTGAGATATGATATCTTAAACCGTCAACTATCATTTGGCAAAGAAAAATGTCTTAAATTTTAGCTTTAAAATTAGATCATGTTATTATATCTTTATATGGGGCTCTTCTTCTAATGGAGATCAAAATAGTCTAAAAAAGGCCACGACCACCCAGCCTCTTTAAACGTTCTTTTTGAAAAAAAATTATCGATGTGTAAACTCTTTGTATTTTACCCACAAACTTTACATTAAAGTGCTTCACACTTTTATTTAGTGCGTTTAGAACTTTTAATCCTATATCACTAATGAAAAGTCCAACAACAGAAATGTTTATCACATCGGTCTAACAATTTCACTTTTGACTGGCCTGCAGGTCCAATATAAGAATTGTGAGATCGCAACGTCACTGCTACGTCACATGCAACGTCACTGCTTTGTCAAAGTAATTGCATACGGGAATATCCGGATTGATATTAAAAATCCTTACTAATTATCAATCTTTTGGAATTTAAGAAATTTATTTCATGTGTGATATAAATACTACGTTTTATATACGTAAAACGTGTCAACGTTTGTTAACGGTTGTCGTAGCGTAATCGGTAGCGCGTTGGATTCACATTCTCACGCACCGCCGAATTTTCGCGGATTATAAAGCGTAGACTGACCCAAACCAGGTTATCATCGAACAATTTGGCCAAGATTTAGAGTCATTCCTTAATATTTACATTTGCAAATGTTTTCCTTTATATAACACTATTGAAAGCAATGCGTATCTATAACTGTATAAATACAGGTACGGGGTCAAGAGGTCATAGATGTGCGTATGGACAAACGTTTGACGTAATTTCTCAGTGACGTCATAAAGGGTCGACACGTGGATAACATACATGCCGTTGGGTTTGAAAAATAAATCATTTCACATGTTCAAAGTCACAATCTTGCAAATATAAAGTATGAATAAGTCACAAATGTAAATATAAGAAATAAGGTATCATTTTAAAACATCCATCGGGATATAAATACGGGTGGGTACAAGATTAAATTCATCATTAAGCCCTTCGGGCTTTATGGAATTTAATCTCGTGACCCACCCGTATTTATATCCCAATAGATGTTTAAAAATGATACCTTATTTCTTAAATAAATCCCGAAGGGCTTTATGATGAATTCAATCTCGTACCAACCCGCATGTATAGCCCGATAGATGTTTCAAATGATACCTTATTACTTATATTTTACATTTTTAACTTATTAATACTTTACATTTGCCTGATTGTGACTTTTAACGTGTGAAATGCGTTATTTTTCAAACCCAACGACATGTATAAAATCCATTGAACGAGCGTCGACCCTTTATGACGTCACAGAGAAAATACGTCGAACGTTTATCCATACTCACATCTATGACCTCTTGACCCCGAACCTGTATTTATACAGTCATAGATACGATTGCTTTCAGTAGTGTTATATAAAGGAAAACATTTGCAAATGTAAATATTAGATGTTAAGTGAGTACTGAAGGGTATAACAAACCAGTCATAGACTGGGATTTGGGTAACATATGAATTGTTGGACCTGAAGTGAAAATGTTGTCATTGGCCTGCGGCCTCGGGCAACATTTTCACCTTCAGGTCCAACAAATCATATGTTGCCCTCATACCCAGTCAATAACTGTATAATATATTTATTGCTAGTAAAAAATCCACCAAATGAAATGATTATGACATCGGTCTATCAATTTCACTGTTGACTGGACGTTGTCCAACATTCTTAGACCGCAACGTCACTACTACGTTACAAGTAATTAATCATCGTTCAATATCGGTGACACAGAATTAGCTGAAGTTATAGCTGCAAGAGATGTTGCTTACAGCAGGGTAAGTAAGAAGGGAAGAGTATGTTTTGTGAAAAATAATTTCTGTGATATAATGGAAATATTAAATTTATTATTAAATGGAAATATTAAATATTGACTGGGTATGAGGGCAACATATGATTTGTTGGACCTGAAGGTGAAAATGTTGCCCGAGGCCGCAGGTCAAGGGCAACATTTTCACCTTCAGGTCCAACAAATCATATGTTGCCCGAATCCCTGTCTATAACTGTTTTGTTATACCCTTCACTGCTCAATTTAGATTGATCAATTTAATTAATACTATAGGGTTATTGAACTTATATCGGTGAATATTGGCACGAGTTGGCTGTTCAAATGCACGAGCTTGCGAGTGCATTTGAACAGCCAACGATTGCCAATATTCACCGATATAAGTTCAATAACTCCTTTATTATATAGCTAAAACATTTCTACAAAATTTAAAATAAATATTCCAACTAAAAAAACCCTAAAATTAATGATTTTTTGTATCGGTATTCAAATTAACGTCTGTCCTGTTAGCGTTCAATATCACATCATCACGATTACCCTACCGAGCGATATGATTTGCTTAATTAGGTTTTAATGGGTCTAATACGTTCTGTATTTTAATAAATAATTTTATTTCAGTGTGAAAAATAAACACATCTTACCTAGATACCACTTCCTTTCTTTAATTTCGCTCTGAGAATTTGACCAGACAACTTTTTTTGTTTACAACGGGGCGTTCGATATTGAACGCTCGTATTCGGAATGTTTCGGGCATACTCATATACGTAATGAAAAGTTAGCGTTCAATAAAACGCCAAGATATTAAACGCTAAAATTCTCTAGATTTTTGGTAGTATTTTAATAGACTATTTATTAGCTA